CTGCAGAGCTGAAGACCAGGGCATTGGCTTAAAGTCCTTTACAGCGCGGTGACATTCCCAGCCCCCATCTCTGCCTTGTGCAACCTGGTAACTGTAGAGATAATACAGGGTTCGAAAGAAATCACTTAAAATAAAGAAATAAAATATATGCATGGAGGAAACAAAAACAAGATGCTATAAAAAAAAATGAGTCAAAAGATAAAACTTTTGGGTCTTAAAAATAGGGCAGTGGGAAATTTAAAAACAATTTAAAAAGTCTGTAAAATGAAAGTAAACTAAAAAGACAGAATAAGAAATGGGAGGGTAATAAAATGAAAATATCAGTCCTACATTTTGACTAATAGGAGGTCCAGAAAGAAGACAGAGAATGGAAAAGAGAAAAATTATCAAAAAAAAGGCAAATACTTTTCAGAACTGAAGGACAAGAATGCTCAGATTGCAAAGCCATCAAGTGTATAGCCCTTCAAGTAAGAAAAAAAAAAATATACCCACACCAAGACACATTAGGAAATTCTGGAACTTCATGGGGAAAAATATCCTAAAATCTTCCAAAGCAACGCAACAGGTTACACTCAGAGTATTAGTAATCAAAAGAGATATTGCAAAAGTAATTCTAACATCGAGAAGCCAGTGGAACAATCCTTTCAAAATTTTAATGGAAAAATAGATTTCATCCCAGACTTCTGTACCCAGACTGTTAGTTTAAGGGTGAAAACAAAGACATTTTTAGGGATTCAGGGATTCAGATGACTTCCAGGACTTCATTTCCTAGAGAGCCACTAAAGAGTGTACTCAAGTAGAATGCGAGAGAACCAAGAAAGAAAACACCGTCCATGGAGGGAGAACCCAGGCCGGCAAGGCATTCAGACCAGACTGGAGCAAGGGCACAGAAAGCTCCAGAAATGATGTCTCCAGAGTTAAAAAATAGAACTAATGTATCTAGGCACATGGGCTTTATTTATGGGCATAAAATAGAGGTGTCGGAACCCAGGGAATGAATTAGTGATAAATTGGTGCACAACTAGGCAGATGAAAGAAAATTGAGGTCACAATTTAACTCCAGGAAAAAGAAAAGATTATATAAAAAGGAAGGCCGGGTCACAGGGCATTATTTGGCCAGGTCAAGTTGAGCAATATTTGCAAAGTCATAATAATATAAATATTGACAAGCTTAATTAAAATTACGTGATAACTGTTTGGGCCACTAAGAAAGAAGTAAGAAATGTGTCTGGGAGCACTAAGTCTTTCTTTCCCATGATAGGAAATCAAAAGATATCTAGAATTGACGAGTAAAGAAATAGTTGTAGAAACGTACCCAGCCAATAGGTGTTGGGCATTAATGTTTTGGTAGCAATTTTACAAATGATGCACAAGTATTTTTTGCAGTTGCTTTGCCTCAGGTGCCATCTCGGTGAAAGGCTAGGGCTTTGTGGCTGTCGAGAACAGGGGCAAACAATCCCCAGTCACTGTTTTCAGATGCAGAGACCGTCCCAGGGCTGGTCCCACACACTTCAGACATGGGAAATTGAATTCCTATCTTCGTTTACAATCATGAATAAGGAGCAAAATCTTTTAAACTGCTTTTCTCTCAGATTGCTTCCACAAACAAATCGGAACAAGAGAAAAGAGACGAGCAAACTGATATTCAGGAAACAAACTTTCTCACTGGACCAGTGTGTTACCTCCTCATTATTTCCCTGCACGGAGGATCTTGAAAAAATGATCAAAAGGCAAATGCATATCTTCATAAACTATACTCTCTTGTCATAATTTCTGGAGGGTAAGAGAAGGGATGCCTGTTTCTTTAGTTGATTCGCAACCACCAGAGAGATATGGGGAACAAAGGAAAAAAGAGCCCTAAACACAAATGAATTCCATCTGTACAAGTTGAAGAACCACAGGACATGCTCCATTTTTTTTTTAACACTCCAGGTGTGATGTGAGATTACGTATCCGCACAGGAGAGTGGAGAGTTAATTAAAATTTTTGCTCCTATTCCCAGAAAGAAATGTCTTTTCATTTGATAAGCAGGCTGGCTTTGGAGTGCTGTTTGTGCTTTTCTCTCCTCACTAGAGTGTCACAGAAAGACAGATCAAAGGGAGCCTGCCGTCCATATAGGTTTCCTACCAGCTTTCTTAGCTAATAGACTTGAAAGCGTCTTCCACTGACTGCGTGGGGCTGGTGTCATATTTTAGAAATGCCATCTTACTGTGTTGATAATATGCAAAGCAGCTTTGATAGATGCTATGGAAAACCACATTTAACATTAATTACATCAAAACCAGCCCAAATAGTCATAGGAGTGGGAGAGTTTAGCGGAGTGTAACACCCCACCCCATACCGTTTGTATTTTACTTTTCAACCCACCGTGTGACAGCCAGATATTAACGCTTGAGATGGAACCGTCAGCTCTTTCAAGCAGGGTTAGGTTTTGTTATGTTTTTCCTTTTCCCTTTAGTCTTTTTGATTCTGTACCCTCTGGCTGATATCTCCTACCCAGAGAGGATAAAACTGTTTGGGAGAAATCCTGCTGTCTTTCTCTTTAAGACAGTGACAAAATGAAATAAAATGGAGCAAACTAGAAGCAGCCCTGACGAGGCCTGTCTGAGCAGGCAGGTCAGGCAGCAGCAGAGGGCATCCATTGTCTCGCTGCTCTGGGTACCCGTGGAGAAAACCCAGCCAGGGCACAGTCACCAATGAAAGGACTCCATTCTGCCACTCAGGGCTTTGTGAGGCGCCAAAGCTTGTCCTGGTTGCCATGGCTACTGTCTGATTGTAGCGGGTTTGTCACAGTGCGTGATAAAGTGGGAAGGTTATTCTTGATAGGCCCAAGTAATCATAACCTCGCAAAGCTCGAGAGTGTGGATTTAACGTTTTTTTTTTCCCCTCCTCTCTTTAAATCAGGAATGAAGGGGTGGGGGCAGGGCTTCTCAGGATGAAGCCGCCACAGCAGGTGCCCCGCATGAGGGCTACTGGCTGTACTGGTCTGGAAGGGCGGTCCCCAGGTGTCCAGGGTGGGTCATCTGCTGCCATCTCTGGCCTGAGTGCGGCCTCAGACACAGGGCCAGAAGAGGATCCCCTCAGATAGCCCTCTTGTAAATAAATTGGTTATATACTTGTGCCCTCTCTCCTTCTTTCCTCCCTCCTCTCTTTCTTTTCCTGCTCCCCCATCCTTTAACTTCTTTTCCTTTTCTCCTCCTCCTTCCCGTTGTCCCTCCTCCCTTCTTTTCTCCCCACCCTTCTCCCCTTCCCTCTATGCCCTTCAGCTATAGTGGTATTTCTAGCAGAAGTACTGCTGACGTGGAGAATGGTGGAAAAGGTAAGGTTTGAGGTAATAGCGGATAGATGCTGGCCACAGAATCGAAGACTCTTTCTGTCATGGGAAGAGACCTAATGGGTTATCTAGACAGTGCTTCTAAGACTTGGCTGCATCAGAATTCCTGGGAGGACTCTTTAAAACAGAGTTCCAGGTCCCGTACCCAAAGTTGCTGATCTGGTAGGTCTGGGTTAGGTCTCAAGACGCTGCATTTCTAACAAGTTCCCAAGTGTTGCTGATGCTGCTGGCTCAGGGCCCACATTTTGAGAACCACTGAAATAAGCCAAGACTTATTTTATACAGTGGGAGAAACAGGCTCCCAGAGGATAAATTGGTTGCCAGTGATTCAGGTGTCTTGGTAGCTACACTGGGATAGGTACCAAGTGATAGGAGCTTTAAAAGCCACTGGAAGAGGCAGCGCTGGTTGTTCCCTTACCTCTCTTCCAGCCCCCTGGCCCAAGGCAGCCAGACGAGCTGGTTTTGTTCTCAAAAGGTCTCCAGCAGGACAGCCACTCGCCACGATGGCCCCTCTGCACAGTGCCGCTCCCCAGTTAAGCCCACCCTCCTTGGTGCCCTAGGCCCAGCGTGGTCTTGCATATGTATGTGCCAGAGTTCTGCCCTGGAGTGCCCTTCCCCACCTCTGCCTGTCAAATTCCTCCCAGCCCTGAGCCCCAGGAAGTGCCTGGACACCACGGCCTGCATCCTTCCTTGTCTGCTCGCACTCGAAGCCTCATGGCCCTGCTCTCAGGCCATTTTGTGTTTTGGCTACTTGCATGTCTGTGCTGTTGCCTGTGCTGGGCTGTGACCTCCAGCGGCAGGACAGGGCTTCACCTTTGTACCCACCATGGCTCCAAATACTGGCTGAATGAATGCGTTTGGACACCTCAGTTGGAAGGAACCTGGACACACTCTCGAGTTGTTCAGAAGCCGCCTAAGAGAGGTGGGGAGGCCAGTGTAGACACAGGACCAGAGTGCAGACAGCACATCGAGTGTCAGTGAGGAACCCAGAGTAAGAAATTAGGCCCGACGCACGGAGAAAGCATGACATGGAACCCAGTGCAGTAGCCTCCCTTTGGGGGTGTCTCCCTGTGGGAGCAAGACTGCATTTTTAAATTCGAAGGCAAGTGTGAGGCAAGTCTCCCTGCCCGCCGCACTGATTTGAAATAAAACCCAGGCAGCATTCATTTACCCCTTCGCGGCAGGCTGCGTAACAGGTGAGGCTCGTGTGTATGTGTTGGGGGCGGGGGGGAGGCTGCCATGGCTGCACGCAAATGACTCGATCATTTGTCAAATGTCATTTAACTCCCCACGACACACTCCAGGATCATCTGGAGCAGCATGTGTTGTCATACGCCCTGAATACGTCTTTGAGGTGAGGTGATCGTGCTTCATTGAAACTCACAGGAGGCTATTTGTCCAGACAAGAATAAAACAAAGTTAATGGATCAATCCTTTGGCTCTAACTCCTTGCCAACCAAGCGGACTGATATAGGGCCAGGAAAGAGTCCCATGTTGGTAGTTTGGCTCTGAACTCTTTAAACAGAATCAGAGCCAGGGCCTCCGAGCTGCAGGACACCCCACCTCCTTTGCTTTGTTGAGTTGGCGGGTTGAATGATCCCCCTCTCAGTCACTCAGCTGTCAGCTTGCAGCGGCAGCATCTCTCACAGTGGCCTTTCTCCCTTAGGGTGTTGAGGTGCAGACAGACTACGTCTGGCAGCCTACGGCTGGCAGCTCACCTGTGTGCTACCAACTCCCGTCGTCAAGACTAACAGGTAACAGTAACAGTCATTGTTATTTTTGAACACTTAACTCTGTGCCAGGTACTGTTCCCGATAAGCAACTTCATGTACATAACTTATTTAATCCTGTGACGAGCCTGTGAGGTTGGTGTGGTCACATAAACTCCAGCTGGGAAGTGGCAGAGCTAGGATTTCAGATTCTAAACCCCCTCCCTCAGAGCACTCACCTACACCCTTCTTTCTACCTGGGGAGCCTTGGCCATTATTGTCCAGCATGTCAGAGATGAGCCACCTGGATGAGGAGGCTCAAGGCTCAGGTACAAAAGAAATCCAGCTCCCACTCTGTGCCCTGTGCTGGGCTAGTTAGGTGCACTGTATATAAACTCTCATTTATTCCTCAAAAATCCTATGAGGTGGACTTTTAAAAATAAAACCCATCTTACAGCTGAAGAGAGTGTGGCCAAGGAGTGTGGCCAAGGAGATAACCCATCTCTGTGGGGCTGCTGACCAGCTCTATGATCTTGGGCAACATCATAGAGCTGGTCAGCAGCCCCACAGAGATGTGAAGACCTGGAGCCTTGGTCTCTGCTCGTGGCACTCCTTACAAGTTCACATTCTCGGTCTTCTGTCCATACTCAGCTCTGCCTACCGTCCCTTGAGCCCAGGGTCTTATCTTTGTTATACCAACTAGACAAGGCCTTCCTGTGTGTGGGGTTTGCTATCTAAACTAGTCCTCCTACCTGTTCTGTGGGGTTATAAGCATAGATATGATTTCCATTTTACGGATGAGGAAACTGAGGCTCAGAGAGGCTCAGTCACACAGCCACTGAGTGGCAGAAACTGGGACTAGAACCTCTGTCTGAGAGTCAAGGGCTCCTTCTCCTACCCCAGGCCACCTCTTTGCTGACCTGTAGGGATGCCCCCTCCTGTGGCCCTCAGTGCTCTGCCTGCCCTGAATCCTGCTGCATACCCACCACTGCAGGGCGATGGACAGCATGAGGCAAGGCTGGCGATCTGGGGAGATAGCAGGGCCGTGCAGCTCAGAGCCCAGGCTGAGGAGAGAGAAGGATGGTGACGATCAGTGCCTGTCCCGGGTCCCTCCACAGCCTGTCTGGGCCCTCATCATGTCTCCCTCCTGACAGTGGGGCACGGTAGGTCTGTGTACCTGAAGAAGCCAGTCTGCAGCAACCTTTGGGCCCCTTGGCCACTGGGGGTCACCATATTGTTTCTCAGCCAAGACTTCTGTGGGCACAGGGCAATGCAGCAGAGTACAAAGAACCCTGGATTGTGGCCTGCAGACTTGAACCCAAGTGCTGAGTCCACCACCTTGGCCAAGTCATGTAGCTTCTTTGAGTCTGTTTCATAGTCCATGAGATGGAAGAACAGAGGACAAGAATCACCATGATAATGTATTTGAATGCGAAGCCCCTCCTGGTTCTGAGCTAAGCCCAGCGGGTGCAGACAGGTCTGTCTGTCTCTGTCTCAGATAGTCATACTTGCTAAATGATTCTCCCTAATCTTCCATTTCCCTGTACCTTAAATCGGGGGTCCCCAATCCCCAGGCCATGGACCAGTACCAGTCAGTGGCCAGTTAGGAACCAGGCCACACAGCAGGAGGTGAGCAGTGGGCGAGCAAGCGAAGCTTCATCTGTATTTGCAGCTGCTCCCCAGCGCTAGCATCACCACCTCAGCTCCACTTCAGGTCATCGGGCATTAGATTCTCATAGGAGCACCGGTCTCTGGTGCCAAAAATGCTGGGATCACTGCTTTAAATGAGTCCTCATGCTGCAGTGAGAGAATGCATACGACCAGGCATATCTGAGCTTGAATCTCGGCTGTGTACTCTGGAACCTGCTCCTTAAACGAGCTTTTGTTTTCTGTCTGTAAAGGTGTCTGTCCCGGCCCTTGGAATGCTGTGGTGATGCCTAAATGAGCCATTATGTGTGGAATCACTCAACCTAGCACTGGAATAAAATAGAAAATATTACTCCTCTCCATTCCTACCCTCCGACACTCCATGTTAGTGACATGTTGCCTCAGCAGAGAAGACATTTACAAAATAGAGATTTAAGAAAGTGATGGGAAGGGTGGAGGCTGGGGAGAAAACAATGATCTTCTTTACAATATTTCCAGCCTCTTTAAAGGCAGCTCCGTGGGGTCCTGCCTTCCTGAGAGAAAGGTGCTCTCACTGTGCCATAAAAATGAGCAGGTCCCTGAAGGACCCCTCACCTTAATTAATTGGTTAATGCCAATCCCTGCCTTTCTGCCTGCCCTTCATCTGTGTGCCTGCAGGAGCAACGTGGCCCTGCTGCTCCCTGAAAGTTAATCAGGCTGTGGCTGGGACCCTTTGCAAAGCCAGCCCTCCGCCTGCTGTCCCTGTGATGGCAGAGGGCAGAGCTCTGCACCCAGGTCCTCATCTCCCTGCCCTTCTGGGCCAGCCAGGCCCCTCGTGGACTCACTACCAAAGACAGCTTTGGAAAAGGCCTGCCACCCTTTAAGATTTGCTTTAAGAAGCTAGTTTGTCATCATTTGCCCAGGATGCTAGCTGTTATTTCACATCAAGAGAGTGGAGTTTCCAGCTGTGAAGCTGACTTTGCTGGGACACCCACAAAGCTTTTGTTGGGCCCCTAAGATAGCCCCTCAGAAGCAAAACTGGATGGTCTGAGGGCTGGAGAGATGGGGTGCTTCTCGATTCTGACCTCTCACTATTTGGTGGCAGGTTTTCTTTCCGCAGGTGGCTATGAAGTTAGGGACCACAGCATAGGTACGAGGTTTGGTTCTCCCAGGTGTAACATAATTCATTCTCAGCTCCAATGTCTTACAGGGAGGGAAATGTGTCCACCAAGCAGATTGTCTTTCTTCAGAGACCATGTCTACCTCAGAAAATCAAGAAGAAGGAGTCAAAGGTAAGTGACCTTGACCACATTTCTCAGATGTCCTTAGCAGAGCTTCATCTTTGAGTGGATGTGTCTGTAGCATGTGGGTAGACAGCCTGCTCTAGCTTCCAAGGGCTCTGGGCCCAAGGACATCTGAGCCCCTTGGCGAACTGAATCAGGTCTGAGGCTGCCAAAATGGGACAGGTGAGGGCACTGGAGGGCCTTGTCTGCCAGTGTCCTGCTGGTCAGGGCAGAAGAGCAGGTTCTTCTGGACACTCAAGCATGCCAGATATTCCCACTAGGCTAAAATAGGGCCATGAAGTCAGCTGCAGTCTGACAGGACCGGGGGCGTGAGGAATGGCTTGAGTGCAGGCCCAGCGTCTCTGTATCTTCATCTCATTACAAACTGGCTGGAGGTTTGGCTTGCCCGTTGGATCCCTCAGGACATCAGAAGTTTGGTGACTTGGGCAGACAGACCCTGCCAGAGCCCCTTTTTGACAGGCCATGACTCAGAAGCCTCTGAATAACAATGGCTGGTATAGACAGAGGCCAGCCAGCCTTAGCCTGTGGCAGTGAGTCATCAGGTCATGCTGTTCTGGGGGTCTTTTTTCCATTACCAATGTCACATGAGCCGTCCAAGAAAGACAGTCGCACCAAGAGACCGTGACCATTCTGAGAATATTTCTTTTGTTTGATGAAGTTGTGCCCAAGTCCTTCCCTTGCATCAGATGATTCTGATCTTTCGCAACCCCACGCTTTGCAGCTGGAGGGTGATTTTTCCTGTGGATGTTTCACCAATTACTCAGGAGGAGGCAAGTGAGTTGAGGGAACCTGCCAAAGCGAAGTCAGGTGTCACCTGGAGCCAGCTCGCTCTACTTTTGATGGCCGAGGCCACGATCTGCTGCTGAGCCTGCTGGGCCTGCAGCCTCCTCACGCCTGGCATCATCCCTCTGCTCACCACTCTGGTTCCTCGTGTTCTTTGGACATGGAACCCAGACAGGAGCACCAAACAAGTGAACAGATTGAAGCAGCCCCTCGTCAGCTAACATTCGGGGGGAGGGTTTCTTATATGGGAGGAACGCCAAGGAAATGGCGCCTTGAAGCCAGATGGGGTGGAATGCAGAGGACGGTCTCTCTCCAAGCTCTGAGACGCTAATGTGACAGGTGACAGCAGCAGAGAACCAGAAGGCAACCGCCAAGTCCACCATTAACCACCAGGCACAGTCCGCTGCCGGCTGGAAGATGGATCCGCCTGACTGCTGTCAGTTGCTGCCTAGCCGTAGGCTCGCAGGGACTCTGTGCAGTCACAGAGTGACATTCAGCCACAGCGCAGGCAGTGTTTTGGTCAGACACCAAAAGAAACCTGCTTCCGCCTTTAAGAGAGAGAGGCGGTGCTGCCTTTTCTTGCCAGCTCTCCTGGTGGTGGTGCTGGCAAATCCCAAAGCAGAGACATGCAGTTTGATTTTGGTGAAAGCCGTGCATCTCACAGAGGGAGATAAGCCAGTGGAAACTTGAGCAGACAGGGAGATGTTAGAGGTAGAGTTGTAACGCTGCTGTAAGAAGGTAGGATGACTTTCCTCAGAGAAAATCCAGAGAGGATGGGAATCATTTATTTTCTGGTCGGTGGACACTTCCAACCCCAATCAACTCTACTGCTGTCAGATGCTTTCTCTTTCAACGTACTCATTTATCCCCTACTCATTCAGAGGATTGGCTGGCGCCGAGCCCTTGTTCCATGTGACCTAAAGAGGTCACCTGACTCGTGGAATCCCAGAGAAGGGACTTCGAGGCAGACGTTTCCTCGTCGTCCCTGTCATTCGCTCCTCAGCTGACTCAGGTCAGCGTTCTGCTCCCACAAGGTCTCTGTGCCCCGTGACTGTGACAGCAACTCCCCCCTGGTCCTCACCCTGCCCGAGCTCCCTGCAGCACTGGTGCTGTCAGCTGCCCTCCACCTCTCGAGTCACCTTTTTCTCTGGGCTCTGTCCCACCATCCTCTCCTGGTTTTCCAGCAGTTTCCTCAGGGTTCAGACTCAGCCCCACTTCTCCTCTCACTCTCTTACCTCTTAGAAAATCTCATTCATGCACGGAGTAAGAAATCCTCATTCACCTCCTGTGTGGATGACTCTAGCTGCATTGTCACCTTTGCTTCTCCCCTGAGGCCCCAACTCCACCTGCCCTATCGCTGCTCAGTGATCTCAGAGCAAAGCGTGACTTTGTCCCTCCCCCACACCTGGCTCACCTCCTTCTACCTAGAGGAATGAACCACCAGCGACCCAGAGGCACCCACCCACCTCGGGGTCATCCTTGACACGCCCCACCTCCTTCCCCCATATTCAGTCCGTCCTTAACACATGTCTATTTTAGGTCCTAGAAACTCTGAGATCCTCCACTTCTCTTCATTCTCACCTGCCTCAACTACTCCAGGCTCCTAGTGACAGGTCTCACTTCAGATCTGTTTTCCACCCTGTGCCAAACTGATCTTTCGAAAAAGCAGATTGAATCATGTCGCCCCACTGCTTAAAACAGTTCTAAAGCTTTGTAGTATTATTAAGATAAAGATAGAAATCTGTGATGTGGTCCACAAGCCCCTGTGCGATCCGGCCCCATGTTCTGCTTTCCAACTGTGTCGGCCTTCATGTTCTTCCATGTCCCTTCCTGCCCCAGGGCCTTCGCTTTGGCTGTTCCCTCTTCATGTTCTTCCATGTCCCTTCCTGCCCCAGGGCCTTCGCTTTGGCTGTTCCCTCTTCATGTTCTTCCATGTCCCTTCCTGCCCCAGGGCCTTCGCTTCGCCTGTCCCCTCTGCTAGGACACTCTATTCCTTTGTATTTCCCCAGGACAGTGTTCTCTGCTCTCAGGCTCGTTTGTGATGTATACGGAAGAAGCGCGTTCCTCCCTTTCAGAGCTCTCCTCTCGTGTCTAATTATTTGTGCCCATCCGTTTATCCTCTACCAATAGAGTCAGTCTATGAGAGCAGAGACCTTTTATTCTGACTGTTGTATGCCCAGCACTTGGCTTTTAGTCGATACTTGACAAATATTTGTTGAATCGGTGAATGAGTAATCAAAATTCTGAGCCGGGGGACATGCATATTATGTCTAGCACTGAAATTTAAGAAAAGAAATCCCAAGGTTGGCACACCAAGGACGCAGCCCTCTAAACCAGCAAAATGGACAAAATTCTCCAATCAAGACTTTTCAGCATTTGAAAGGAACCTCTTCGTGTGTATGCGAGTGTGGCTTTCAAAGCAAATATGAAACTCCTTCGGAGGTAATAGGTGGTTTCTATGACACCGGAGAAGTTTTCTTTCCTGCTAAACTACTTGAAGTAGAGACAGATAACGGACAGTTTTTAAAATGTGCGAATTAAATCCATTAGCCCCTGCTGACATGGAATTCTGGACACACACTGCTGTAGTGTGAAGGATTTTTTTTCTTCCCCGCAGTTGTTTCTGACATGGATGGCTAGTTGGAATCTTCCTTGGTTTAGGCACCAACGGCACATGCAAGTGCCATAGACACCCTGTTTGGGAAGGCACCCAGCATCGTGCAGCCTAACTTACAGCTTGTTAAGTTCAGAGGTTCTCCCTAGTACTGCTCAGGATATGGAACACGGTCTCCAGGCTGGACTGCCTGCCTTTAAGTGGGGATGTTGTAGTCCTCCCCCTAGAAACACAACCCAGAAAGCTGTCACTGTCCCAGGGGCTGCCACGTCCCTGCCTCTTCTTGCTTTCTGAGATGTCACCTTTTTGAGACTTGGGCTCTGGAGCAATTTTTTGTTGTTTGTTGGAGACTGTGACTGTCCCTACCTTAAAGGAAGAAGAGAAGCCTGGGTGATGAAGGGAGCAGGTGTGAAGATGGAAGGGAGGGAGACAGAGGAAGCCCTTCCATGGAGAGCACGGCTCCGGGCAGGGGGAGGTTGGGGGCATGCGCTTTTTTCCAAGCTGCCTCTTACACAGCTAAACTCTGCTCAGGTGCTTTTCTTAGCTTGGTGGTTCTCAGTATCAGCAGTATCAGCCTCACCTGGGAGCTTGTTAGCGATGCAACATCTCCCTCCCCTCCCCAGGCCCACTGAGTCAGAAACTCAGAGATAGGGTGAATGATCTGTTTGAAGGAGCCCTCCAAGTGATTCTGATCCCCACTGCAGTCTGAGAGCCAGTGTCTTAGTTGAACAGTTTAGGGCCCTTCGAGGCTCACCTTTGGACCTCCATCCAAATTTTATCATTATTGATTTTTTTTAATGGGTCTGTGAGGAAGACTTCAGTGTAGATATTCGTTTTCAGTAAACCAAACCAAAGAATCTTTAATGGCAGTTAAACCTGGACTTCCATTAGCTAACCACTTGGCCTAGTGAGTCAAGCTGCTGACCTAGCAGATGCATCTGAACAAGGTGAAGTCTGAAAGGTGAGGCACTTATGCATTGGGCTGAACCATCCAAAGGTGTGTGGCCTCTCCATTTGCTTCCTCTCCTCCCTTCCCTCTAAGGCAGTAGTCTAAAGCCTTTCTTCCACCAAGAATGAGAGGCTGGAAGGGTAGTGTAGAACCAGAGACACCAGTGTTCAAATTCCAGCTCTGCTATTTCCTAGCTATATGATCTTAGGCAAGTTACTTTACCTCTCTGAACCTCTGCATGCTCATCTAAGATGGTGCTAACAACACCTATTGGGAGTGTGGCTTTGGGGATTCTGGGAAATGGGGAAACCTTGTCACGGTGTGAGACACACTCTAGCACCTTGGTATGTGTTTTGTTTGTTCTGTTTGTTCGTTCCGTGTTTGTTTGTTCTGACACAGGTGTTCTATAGATACTCTTCCTTTGCCTATTCAGGACATGTAGCTCTTAGATTCTATAGACCCTGAATTTTGGCCACTGCTAGTTCCCTGCTTCATGAGACTGTCCCCACAAAGGAGAGAAGAAGAAAAGGAGGACAAGGGAAGACTCAAGTCAGAGAGCCTCCTGGGAGCCTGGCTGCAGCCCCTGGGACAGCTGTGGTGGGCTCAGGGGGCCGAGGCAGCACGAACCCATCTGACGACAGAAAATAGTGTGATCCTAGGAGGCATTTGGCTTGGCAGTGATCATTCTGCAGGACAGAAAACATTGACTGGAATAGGTCCTTTCCAACGCTGTGCTTACTGTCCCAGATCCTCTTGTGCCCAGCAGTCCAGGCAGGTTCCTGGAGCAAAGTGGCTGGTATGCCTGCCACAGGCCCCTTCTGTAGTCTGTGTCCTCCGGTGACATCATATCAGGAGAGCAACAAAATGCAGTCTTCTTCAGGAAGCCGGATATGGCTGGGTGTCCAGAGGAACCACAGACGTTCTGCTGTTTAATTAGCAAGAGCAGCCCTTGAGAGCATGCCTAGGTTTGCATGAGAAAATAAATAGTGCCCAGGATGGAATCTGGCACAGGTGGAAGCGGTCTTGGTTGTACACCTCCCAACTGCAGGGGGCGCTGTTCACATCCATGCCAGTGTGAATGGGTCCCTGGGTTGGGCACCACAGCCCTGTTGGCAGAGACAACTATTTTAGAGGTGAGGAACTTGAGAGTTGGAGAGATTAATAACTTCCCCAAGGACTGAAAGCTAACAAGTGCCAGAACTGGGATTTGAACCAGGGTCTCAGTTGCCATACTACAGTGCTTTGATGTTATAGCATTTAGGTCCTTTCAGCCAAAGCAATCTCACCACTTTTTTTAGCAAAAGTAAAACTGCTTCCGACTCCCCTGATAGCTGACTGACTCTTGGAATACTGTATATAGGCAGGCTTAACTGGCCTTTTTCTGAAAACATGCAAAATGCAGAGGCTTTTACTAGTTGGGGACATCGATTTTTTAAGACTCTTCCATTGAGCTTGAATTAAAATGCAGCAGCAGCTGCTGCATATGACGAGGCAGCAATTATGAACCATGGTCACGTGTGTCCAAGAGCCACAGAGGGCTGGCGCTGGAGGCAGTGGCAGTGGCTGTGAGGACTGAAGTCAGCATCCTACACTGGTGGTTAGAAGCTGAGATGCCTGCTTGTCAGTCCTGGCTGAAGTGGGCACCATTGGGGTGGGGGTCTGAGGCACCGCTTTGCCCGTAGAGGAGTTCTGTTTTGGGGAACTCATGGCTTAGGTGGAAGAATCTCAAACCATCCCCAGAAGGGAAGTCTGTCAGCTGTAGTATGAGAGAGAGAATGCCAAAAAATGAGTGTCTGGGGAAAAACTCATCCAACATTGTAGGCGAGTTCATATGGGGACTTTTGTGGGAGGGTGGGGTGGCGGAGGACAGGGTAAATGTTAAATCCTAACCTCAACATGTACTTTGCTCTTTTTTCTCTTCTTTGATGGAATAGTCAAAATTACCTGTCTTGTCCAAAAGGTGTTCAATACAAGAATCCTATGAGGTGTTTTATCTCAGAACCCTGTGAATGTGCAGTACCACTGAAAACTCTGCAATGGTGGCAGATTTTCTTAAATTTACATAGCCCATTTTTGGTTTTTCCTAGCAAAGCACTCAATTATTTACAATGTGGTAAAGCCTTAAGAAACCATTTTCCAGTGATGGTGCAATTGCATTCCTGGGCTCCCTCTCCAGCCCAGCAAGAAGTCGCCAGAACCAAAGGCCCCTTTTATTTTTCTTTCAATCACAGAATGTCTAAGATTTAAGTCCGTATTTGGTGAAACCAGCGTGATGTGACTGAAGTTGGAAGAAATGACTGTGGGGGGAACATAAAGCCCTCTGTGACCCGTGGGTCACTGAGCTGCACTTGCACACTGGCCAAGTGGCATGTGCAGAATCTAGTCCCATGACTCCCCTGCAACTGGGGATCCTGACTCTGGCCTCTACCCACCCATCTCTCTCTTCTCTGGGGTTTTGCTCTTGTCCTTTGTGCCTTTCACACCTGGGCCCAACGCGTCCCGAAGAACCTGTGGCTCCCATCTTCCTGAGTGTATGCGGCACGGATCTCTGGCGTCTGACTCTGAGGGTCCCGGCCCAGAGCGGACCGGCCCCCACCTCTGAGGTGGAGGCCATCCACGGCATACAGACCCCCAAGAAAGACAAAGGTCAGAGGGTCTTTTGCTCAGGAAAATTGGGGGACCCCTGATGTTTGGGGAGTAGAAGAAGGCTGCAGTTCTGCTGAGTCGTTAGCCCACAGAATTCATTCCTCTTTCTTAAATCCAGTGCCCCGTTACTCCGAGACTTCCAAGGTGTTCTCCTTAACACCCTTCAGTGTTTCCACGTCTTCTCAAGCTCATGTGCCCAGATTTGTTCCAAGCATGCAGGCTCCTGAACTGTCTTCCTCTGGGACAGTCATGTAGTCGACAGACTCTGCAGGGCTTTGAATGTTTCCCCTCTTTTTCTTCCTTAAATTAATTTCTCTTTTTGGAGATCAACCAGAAATAATGTGCAGAGGCACCAGTCCCTCCTTACTAAATCCTGGGCTATGTTTTGACTCTAAAATTACAAGACTGGTTCACCCTGAAACGCAGGCTTGGCCGGGCTCTGTCCTCCCTCCATTCATTCACCCCGCAAGCAGTGTTTGAGTGCCTGCTCTGTGCCAGGCACTGTGCTGTGCCCCAGGGACACAAGAGTAACTAGGACAGGTGGCATTCCCGACCTAATGAAACTTACATCTGGTGTCAATAATGGTAACAGCAAACATACCTGGTATAGGATGTGCTGGGCACAGTGCTATGACATGGATTATCACATCACTGAAATCACATAAATACCCTCTAAGGCAGGGCTTGACAAACTACAGCTCACGGTCCACATCCAGCCCACCACCTGATTTTGTAGATAAAGTGTTATTGGAACAGTCACGCTCGTTTGTCTACATATTATCTATGACTGCTTTTCTGCAAAAACGGTAAATGGTTGCAGCAGAGACCCTGTGACCAGAAAGCTTAAAATATTTATTATCTTTTATAAAAAAAGTTATCTGACCTTGCTTTTATAGCAAATCAGGTTAGCAGTCTTGATTTCAGTTAGAGTGATGTCCCCCTTATATAGATGAGAACACTGAGCTGTTGAACTAAGCCAGTGAGAGGTGGAATTTGGACTCTTCATAGGCGGTCGCCCTCCAGGCTTGGATATGACCTGGTGTTCTTGCCCATTTCTTACTGACTACACCCCCTGGGCCCTCCCTGAGTCTCTGTTGACGTCCCTGTCACATGGGGGAAATGCTTGATTGCAGGTGGAGCTTCCTGGGAAGCAGACTCTGAGATAGATTTGGATAGAGGAAGTTTTAAGGGGGAGCAGCTCAGGAACACCTGAGGGGAAAGATGGCTGCAGGAGTGGGCAGGGGGAATTGAGCTGCGATCCAGTCACTGCAGTGGCCTCAGTCAACCTTCCAGGTAGCTCTGGATCTGGGATGGCCTTTCAGAGTTGTCCCAAGTTGGGACAAGCTGGATGGGATCCCGCCGTACCCCACCTGGACCAGTCATTGGTCGTAGGTTGCCCCAAGAAGGAAGTGTGACCTTCACTGAAAATGGTGGGGGGTGTCAGCAGAGAGGGGTTCAGTGACGGCTGTCAGCAGGCAGCAGTCCCCACGGCTGGAGCGGTAAGCCCGCTAGTCCCGCAGGGGAATCTGGATGCCCCACATCCTGTGCCCTTCTAACTCAGGTGAGAGAACACCAGCCCCAGTGCCTGGTAATCACAGCCTGCCCACAATGGAAGCGAGCAGCCAGAGCCCCAGCACTTAAGAAGGGTAGGCCCCGTGTCCCCTCTCCCATTCTCGTCATCAAAATGATTGATAGGATTTCTCTTTCCCTTCGGTATGGGGTCAATTGAAAGAAGTGCCCCTCGGCCCCCACAACACTCTGAAATCCACCCCTGGAATACACCTCATGAAAGGCATCAAGCAGGCACTCGCGGTGGGGATGATGTGTGTGGGCTGTAATGTTTGGTGCCGCTAATGCTCCGCCCCAGGAGGGCGGGGAATTGGGTGTCTTGCTGCAAAAAATGATGTGGGTGTGAATGCAAGCGGACATTCAGGTAAAGCTCCAGGTTCACGGGGACTGCCTTTATTTATCCCCATACTCTCCGATTTTTAGTTTCAGTGGCGATTCTCCCGAGAAGACATGCACAGCAGGCAGATGAGGAAATCCAAAGGAAAACTCAGTGCCAGGGACAAGCGACAAGCAGAAGAAAATGAGAAGAATTTAGAAGACCAGTTTTCCAAAGCTGGAGATGTGGGAAACTGTGTGCTGAGCCAGCAGCAAGAAGAAGGAGCCTCTGAGGAAATGAAGGTCCAAGAGGTCACAGGAAAACAGCTGTGTTCTGACAGCCGATGCTGTGTGGAGAATGGTCCTGCCGGCCACTGCGGGGCACCGGAGGGGGGTTGTGAGGGGCACTCGGGTCCCGGAGACGATGCCAGGGAGGGAGGTGCTGAGGAAGTGGCTGCAGAGCCCGAGACAGCAGAAGACAACTGAGCCTCGGGCAGTTGGAGCTAAAGCCAGAAGAGTTGGCCAACCCAGGGCACTGTGCCGGCAGCCGGGTCGGGGCCTGGTTTGCCCTGGTGTCCCCTGTTGCTCTTTGGCTTGGTTTGACCTCTCCTTGTGAGCTCGCCCGGGCCCTCCAAGGGCCGGCTCCCTGACAGTGTTGGTTTCTGCACATGCATTTGATACGTGTTGTAATGCCCCAGTGTTAGAATGCAGGAGGTCGGGTTATTTCTTCTAGACCTCGGGGCTGGAAGCCCAGCCCTGGCTCCGTCACTCCTCAGTGGGAGGGTTGGATCATCCAGTGCCTGTATCTGCCCCGCCAGGGCCTCCAGGGAGCATTCGGGTCAAGTCCATGGGCCTCCCTGGCTACAAACCAAGACTGTGTGATGTTCATTCCCACACCCCACAGGGGCAGTGTCCGTCCCTTGCTGTTTTCCACAGCTACCTGGTAATCGTAACAACCCCTGGAGCCCTGTCAGCTGCTCCTTGCCACCTGAACCCCCCAGACCCTGCTGCTTTGGCAAAGAAAATGACATTAGGGAGAGGGGAGGTGCCCCACCTCCTAGCTTTTCTTATTCCCATAGATACTGGTGATCTAGAAACGAAGAGGTAATTCTGTTTGTGCACCTGCTCTTGCAGAATGTCCAAGAAAGTATTCTGTGTTAGTATTAATGCCAAAAAATTTTTAAAGGTTTTGTATTCATCACATCATGTGAACACACGTTTTTTCTGTCATTTCAGGGCAACCCGACTGGTTGGATGTCCTTGTTATGTGCTATTTTAATCAGTGTATCATTGGCCAAGTTGTTTCCCATGTATGCTATCACATGTTTATATCGTCCAGAAAGTATTGTTAAGGCTTTAAGTAGATGCAACTGGCAAACCTTGGAGAGAGAATGCCAAGTGTCTTGACCAAAACAACAGCCTGTCTCTTCTCTTTCTGGTTTAGTTACTTAAAGCAATAAATCATCTATGAGTTAATGCATTGAGAGTATTGAGTATTTATTGTATCATAACGAAAACTCCTAGCTTGATGTCCAAAGGACTCAACCCCACATCCCTCATTTATTTTTCATAAGTTTCTAACTCCTGGCAACACAATGATTTTGGAGAAAAATGAGGCTCCTATGGGAAACAGCAGAGCCAAGTGATCCCACTGTGCTTTCTTGTCATTTGTAGAAAGAAGACAGAAAGTGGGATTCAGGTGCCACCATGTGGGTCGGGGTTCGGCAGCCTCCCATTGCCCAGGGGGATGGAGGAAAAAAACCTTTTGTAAACAAACAAAGCCCCACGCCAGTTTCTAAGCATGTTTTCAAGCTTTTAAGTAAATTATTTAATGAGGCATTCTTTTCCTTGTTTGCAACTTCACTAAAATAACACACATTTGTAATATATCTTTATAAAGCAGAATTTAAGACCCCTGTACGGTCACATTGTACATTTTCCTCTTGATTTTTGAGCAGACTTCCCCCACCTAACTCCCAGAGCTTACCTAGAAAGGTTGAAGGCTCTTTACAGAGAAATATTTCTTTTTATGTATTTTTTTATAAATTTATTTATTTTAATTGGTTTCAAGTATACAGTGCATTGGTTAGATATTTATGTAGTTTAGAAAATAATCCCCCCAACTGCTCCCTCCCTCCCCTGACCCTCTGCCTAGCCAATGTATCAATGCTGACTGCATTCCCTCTGCCGTGCTCCCCATCCCCATGACCATCTCTCAACTGCTAATTTCTACTTCTTTAACCCTTCACCCCATCCTCCCAGTCCCCCAAACTCCCCTCCCATCTGTCCGTCACCAAATTGTCCACTATTATTGTGAGTCTGTTTTTGATTAGTTTGTTCCTTAGATTCCGCGTATAAGTGAAATCATATGGTATTTATCTTTCTCAAAGAGAAAGATTTTTAAATGACATTTACCACAATTATACTCAGGAGTAACTATACAGCATTTTCATTTAAGAAAAATATTCTCTCTTAGCCCAGGGGTCCTTAACCCCTGGGCTGCAGATCAGTACCTGTCTGTGGCCTGTTAGGAACCGGGCCTCACTGCAGAACATGAGCAGCAGGCAAGTGAGCCAAGTTTCCTCTGTATTTGCAGCCGCTCCCCAGTGCTGGCATCACCTCAGCTCCACCTCAGATCATCAGGCATTAGATTCTCATAGGAGCACCGGTCCCTGGTGCCAAAAAGGTTAGGGACCGCTGTTTAACTCACATCTTAGAGGATCACAGCTTTTTTAAAAAGATGCTAAGGAGCAGCAGGCTGGGACAAAAACTGCTCACTTTTCACAACTTTGAAAAGCATACGATCCCAGGCTGCATTCTCCAGGTGGATGGCCTTATGCCACTCAGTACTGGGTACATTTCTCAATAATTAAATGACATTTATTTTGGCTGAATTTGTTGTGGGGAAAAAAAAATTAAAGGTGTTTGTAGCTAATTGAATTCCTCAGGAAGTCGGGTCCTAAAGCCAGGCTAACAATAATTCCTGAAGGTCTTGTTTTTTCCCTTCACTTCTCCACACCCTGCTGATATCTGGCAAAACATCAGTCTCCTACAGGTGGTTCTCAAATTGGCTGCACCTTAGAATCACTGGGGGAGCTTTAAAAACCCCTGATACCTGGGTCCCACCCCAGAGACTGGGAGTGGAGTGGCTGCTCTGGGAATGGCCTGGGCATTGGGATTTATACACCCCCACCCACACACACACACACACACACACACAATTTTAAGGTGCAGCCAATGGTGAGATCCATTGCCAGCAGGGTTGCTGTGAATCAAATCCTCACACACACACACACACACACACACACACTTTAAGGTGCAGCCAATGGTGAGATCCATTGGCCAGCAGCGCTGCTGTGACTCAAATCCCGCCTTGTTCCTTGTGACATGCAATGCTTTTTATGAAAGCTAAATAACCAAGCCCCTGAAATCCAGTCCCAACATCCTGCACGTGCATTGCAAATTCCGGAAGGAAATTTTACTTTCCTGTGATTGCTGATAGTTGTGTGGGGCATCGCTGGCACTAACGAGGCCCCCGTGACCAGTAAAGGCTGCAAAAACTTATAGTATTTGGCTCGAGGAGGCTTGTGCATGTGGTGCTTCGTCTTTGGAGCTGCAGCTGTCACAGCAGGTTGTGAAGGAACAGGGAATTCTGGGGTGGGGAGGTGATCAAGTGACTGAAGCAGGAACTGAAGTGATGGTGATAAACCCTGCCGTCACCACCAGGCAGCCCAAGGGGGCACTCAAGGGAGTCCAGGGCATCTAGGGCACCAAGATACAGGGAGGCCAAGGCCTGCCTCTTACGGGGACCAGAGATACTGCCATGGAGGATTCTGGTAGTTCTTTGGCCCAGTTGTTTGCCGGTGGAAGGAGGTTTCTAGAGAGGCGGAAAAAATCTCTCCTAGGAACACAAGAGATGTTTCTATAAAACTGTGGCTGAACGGTGGCTGAATTCTGAGTCTCTCACTAGGAAATGCTTTCAAGACCTACTCTTCACCTCAGAGGTTCAGGAAAGGGAAGTGGGCAGAGGAATTCTTATCAGATCTGCTTAAAGAAATGCAGGTAGGTGTATTGCTCTCCAGTGCACATGGCCACAAGGTCGAAGCAGTGAGGTATGGAGAGCCTGCAGACACTTGTGTTAATGAAGCTGGGAGACTTTCTGTATCAGGCTCACGTAGTGGAAAAGCCAACTGGGTTTTGGGATCAGATGGAGCTAGTTAACGTTGACTGCACACAACCTACAGGTGTAACCTCAAGTTCATTTCTTCACACCTGCAGGCATCAGTCTCGTGTGAGAAATGGGCTAATGACACCCACCTCATCAGATTTTTGTGAGGATTAATAAAATGCAGTTTAATGCTTGGTTTGGGGAAAGGGCTCTATGGGTAGCAAGTAATCCCAGTGCCGATAGATAATAAATGTGACAGAGGCCGTGAGTGCTCACCCAAGCATCCATGAGCTCCGGCACTGCCCAGTCCCTCTTGCAGTTTGGGGCCATGTGACTGGATTCTGGCCTGGGGGACATGAGCAGATGTGATGTAAGCCAATTCTGGGCCTCACCTTTAAAAATAACCCCAGCCCTCTCTCCATCTCCAGCACCCTTGGCATAGTTCAAGATGGACTGTGGCATGAGGGGTAAGTGAACCTTCCCTGTGCTAAGCCACTGGGATTTTGAGGTTTATCTGATACTGAAGCATATACTGATTAGTGGAAATACTGTAACAATGTTTATAAAGTCTTTTTTAGTGGTTTATAAGTAACAATCCTTGCCCAAATTTTTTTAAATCTCCGAACTGATCATACTTCACTAGAATTATGCATGATGAGAACAGCTTTAAGAAAGAAAAAACATTAAGAGCCATTCTAATTCGTTTCCTATGAAGCACATTTTATCAGTACTCTAGACATAGTAATTATGGCCTTTCCTAAACCAAAGAACTCCTTTCAAGTATAGCTTCCAGATGTAGCAGTGCTTGTTAGTAGGACTATGTTGACCCAAATTTCATCAGTCATGGAACACATTTCGGTTGTGCCCACACCCGGTGCTGGTGCTGGGTGTGCTGGCCCTGGGGGACAGCAGGGAGCAGCACAGTCCTGGCTCTGTCCCACTGGGGCTCACGTCCCTGCACAGGCCAGGAGCAGCAGTCGGGACTAAAGATGAAGTCCTGAAAGAGTTGGCGAGAGGGGGACGGGTAAAGAAGGACCGCGGTGCAGACGGGCAGCCCAGAGGCAGCTCAGCAGCGACTCCCCAGTTATTTCAGTGGGTCCAGTATCCAGCAGCCGTCCCGGAAGTGCTGGGAGCTAACTGCGTGAGCAGCACAGGGTGTGCCCCTGGCCATTATTAGCACTCTGCCCATTCAGTGACCTGCCCAAATGACTGGTGCGCTTCCCAGGAGAGTCTGGGTTTCCTGTACCTGGCTCCCAGAGTTTGCAACAAGGAAGCATGCGAACTTTAGACCTAAGTATAAGCCCTAACAAACCTTTGGCTGGGATTTCTGAGATGGCTGTTACCAGAGAAGGAAGCAAAGCGATGTTCACCGCAGGTTCCTGTTGATAACGACCGTTTCTGCGGTCAGACTAAGAAAACTAACTCTGGTTACAGATGGCTGGCTCTCTGAACCAGCAGGTGCTTGCTTCCCCAGCCCCTGCAAGACAGTGTGGCTTGGCATTTCCCTCCAGCAGAGGTAGCCAGGCTCGTGGAGACCTGCCCGTTTATGCGGCATGAAGGACTGGATCATTCATTATACAGATGTATAGTTTTTAATGCCTACCCCACTGTGCTCGGTGCTGGGAAGACAGCAATGAATGAGACAGACCCAATCCTGGCTCTTTTGGAGCTTACGACAGACACTGAGTAGTTGCCCCAGTAGTTACAACTGTGGTAAGTGCTTTGGAGAAGTGCAGGCTGCTGTGAGGCATGGAACAGGGAGATGTAACCTGCTGAGGGAAAGCTTTGTGGAGGAAGCCAGAGTTAAGGCTGAGCCCTGAGAGGTGAGCACAGGGAGCAGCCCACCGGGAGGTGGTGTGCCTAGCTGCTAAGAGTGTGGACTCTGGAGCCAGACTCTTTGGCTAGAATCCTGACTCCTCCACTCACCAAGTGTGTGGCCTTGGGTAAGTTGCTTAACTTCTCTGTGCCTCGGTTAGCTCATCTGTAATACACGGATAATAATTGTAAGAATTAAACGAATTAATATATACAAGATGCTTACAGAATGGCTAGAAGAGAGGCCGTTGATCAACTTTAAACAGAAGAATGACATAAGATTTGTATTTGTAAAAGATTTCTGCTGCTGAATGAGAAAGTTAGAGCGTAGGGAGCCCAGGGAGGGGGCAGAGGTCCAAGTTAGGAGGCCAGTGCTTTAGTCCAGTGGAGAGTGCTGATGGTTTGCGCCTCAGTAGAGAAGGGGAGAAGGAGGCAGATTTGATAATAACTTAGGAGCAAAAATTGACTGAATTTTGCAATTGGTTGGTGAGGGATGG